GGATATTGTAGGGGTTGTTATTACATTTATTCTTAAAACAAATCATCTCTGTAATGCATATAATAAATAATTATAAAATCGCATAAGAAAAATACCTGTATTTGTACTCACCGTATGTCTTTTCTTCTGCTTTCTTAATTAAGTACTATAAAAACTTAAAGAATGCTTAAGTTGTTAAGTCCTACCCATTTTGCAAAAACTGCAGAACAAAATCTCAACAATAAAGTAAGGTTATGTTCTCATATTTGACAGAATATCAAATAAATTATGGAAACTTTTCAGGCACAAAACGGGTACGAAACCAGGGGCGGATACAGGAATTTATTTTAAGAGGGGTACAAAAAAAAAGTAATGTAGAATATGCATTTTAGGGAATATGCCATTGTTAATCCAAAAGCCTAATATTCGACCAAATTTATAGATTTTAGGGGGGCCCGGGCCCCATGGGCCCCCCTCTGTATCCACCACCGTACGAAACCTTTGTAAATGTCAGCCACATCTGTTTCTGAGCCACCTCGAAAGTTTCGAAAAATTTGTGACACTAAGATCTTTATTGTGATTAGCTTATTATGTATATAGCGAAACCGAATTTTGGTAAAATGATTGGAAACAAAAAGCGATTTATGTTACGAAACATATGTATCCTAAATGTGTCGAATTAATTCCAGAACTTTTGTGTCTTGACACAAATACCATCATTGTTTCGAAACTGTTTCGCAATGTTGCTCGGCAAATTCTGTTTCGATTTTGTGTCTAAAAATGCTACTTGGGGTATTTTATCTGGTGGTATCACATGGCCAAAATTATTGCATATAACGATATTTTTATTTTATTTTGGACCTAATATGATTCTTTTTATATTTTTGGACATATTGGCTTAATACACGACTAACTAATATAAAATTAAAAATCTAAGTGCAACTAGGCTGTTATTATAATTTTGCTTCATAATGAGTGAAAACCAACTTAAACAAATTTCATTTTAAACAGAAAATATTGAAAACAATTTTAATTATTTCTCACAACTAATAATCTTTATTGCCTCCTCGAGCCTCAATGCAAGCTGTGAGACGACGTGGCATGTCTCAATTAAGTTGTCCAGAAGATGTTGAGGAATATGGCTTCCCATGTTTCGCGGGCAGCAATTTTCAATTCATTTAAGGTACGGGGGGGATCATTACTTTTGGCAATATGGCGTTTTAGCATGTCCCAGGTATGCTCGATCACATTCATATCTGGAGACATCGGTGGCCACCACAGTTTTCTTATACCCTCTTCCTCACAAAATTCGCGAACCGCTAAAGTGCGATGGGGAGGAGCAATATCGTCCATGTAATCAAATTCATCCCCCACTGCCCTTCGAAATGGACGCACAATAGGCTCTAAAACGTCTCTAAGATATGAAGCACCTGTCCTTGTGCCATCAATAAAAACAAGGGGAGTTCGAGCTCCGTGCATTATACCTGCCCATAACATAATGCTTCCCCCTTGAAACGGGACACGGGGTTGAGCTGCATTCAAGCGTGCTCGTCTTCCAGATGCTCTCCAGACCAAAGTTCGTCGCGAGTCTGACACTAGGCCTATTCTTGTTTCATTACTAAACATGACGAAATTCCAATTATTGCTCTCATCTCCTCAGCCCATTGTAGTCGCGTAATTTTGTGCTGTAAATTAAACTTCGGAACACGTAGAGGCCTCCTTAAATGTAATCCTCTGTCATGGAGTCTTCTTGCTATGGTCTTTTTTGAAACATTTACTCCTTCAAGACGAGCTAACTTGTTTTTAATAGCAGTACTAAAAAGCAGGGGATTGTGTTGTGCAATTAGGGATATTTGACGGTCTTGCACAGCAGTAGTAACTCTCTTTCTACCTCTTCCAGGCCGGTCTGTAACCTCGTTTGTCTCCCTGATTTTTTTTAATACTCGCGAAACATCATTTTGGTTAACTCCTACAATTTCAGCTATTGCAACTTGCCGGTAGGCCTGTTGAGATAGTGTTACTATTCTGACTCTATTAAACTGTGAAATAATGTTTAATATAATTTGTATATAATAATAATTTGTATGTCTAAGTCCAAAACAATCGTCAAATTTCTTCTGAAACCCAAGAGACCACAAATCGAAATATGCAAGAATTTGTAATAATATTGGATCTGAACGATAAACATTGTTTACCATATCCATTTTAACAAAAAAATGTTTATTACAGATTATCAAAACTATGTATAAAAAAAGATTCTTTTAATTCCTTTCCGTATATTTTTAAACCATATATGCAATAATTTTGGCCATGTGTGTATTTAGGCTTTAGAAACATGCCAATAAGTTTTTTTTTACCAAGAAAATGTTTAAATATAAAATAAAAACTTTTTAGTGCCACAGGTTCATTTTAATAAACATTTTTGATGCTGTATCGAATCTTTGCAATGTTGTCACCTCCCACGTTAGAGTGCGAACTATCTAAGAAAGTGTGTCATCTTTTAGGCATCGTTTTTCTGTGACGCTCGTGGTATTTTCTTAGTAGGTACGTAACTCTACCCACATTCTGCATATTTCTGTTTTTATACGAAATTCTGCATATTTGTGTTATTATACTGTTACGAAAATTAATTTTTATTATTAGGTATCAGTGGCATTATTAATAATCATAGAAAAATGCGTTGTACTTATTTTTTAACACCAACACACCAAACCAAACCAAACCAAACCAAACCAAACCAAACACACCAACTAATACATTTTTACAGTAAAATTAAACTGAAATAATAGATCTGAACAATTGATGCAGATTCTTTGTAGATATCCTTGTCCATGTGACAACACAGGGCGTCGAATAAAGCTGTCTGAAAATGTTTTTTTGAGGACCGCATTTTCAAAAATTTCTAAGTTAAATAACTGGATTATTTTAAATCTATTTTCGAATAGTGGAGTGCTTTAAGTATTTATGGGATACAAACCTCGGAATTCATTTACTGTGAACAAATTTTTATAAAACTTTTTGCATTGTATTGTTAATAAGATATATTACAAAGTTTACCTATTTAAATTTGTTGCTTTCGCTTTAGTATTTAAATACGAATGCATACATACAAGATAGCTCCGTATTCCAGAAAAGCTCTGTATCAGGACTCCTATTTGAGATTTTCATTCCAAACCTTTTACAAAATATGTGTTTAATGGTAGTTCACATTTCAAAAATATTTTTATAGATATATAGGGTGAGTCAAATATATATATATATATATATATATATATATATATATATATATATATATATATATATATATATATATATATATATATATATATATATATATATATATATATATATATATATATATATATATATATCTATATTTGTTTACTTCAGTGAATTTGTTATAAAATTCCGGTTCCAAAAATACCTTAATACCATAGAGTATACTAAGTGGTTGTTGAATTATGACCACATCCCATGAGGACGTCAATTTAGACGTCCAGGAACCTTCCTATGAGAACTTCTAATCGAGACGATCGACTTATTGTAAGTTTATCGCTAAGAAACCGCCGTTTACCAGCTTTTCAAATTGATAATGAATTGCACTTAAGGAACGTACATATTAACTAACGGACTATAAGAAGAAGATGAAATGAAGCAAATCTTATGTCAAGAAGGCCTGCTTCGGGACCAGAACTTACTAGATGTGTTGACTAGGCCCAAAAGCAAAGGCAAAAAGGCATGGTCTTAATGTAAAAATTACGAAAAAATGTTAGTGTCTTCTTCAAAAGTGAATATTTCCAACAAAAATAAAGCTAATGAGATGAACCAAAAAAAATCCATCGAGAAAGGATGTATCTAGATGATAAAATGATTTTTAAATTTCTTGCTGTTTTAACATATTCACATTTTGTTTGTGTTTCGTGTTTCAAATTTTCACCAAAATATCAACATTTTGTTTTCCCTCGTATAATTAACAGATGGGGAGTTTCATTTTTAATTTAGAAAAAGATACTAAAAAGTCAAATAATTTGGCTACACACTGTTTAAAAAATCATCAAAATCGGCCTATTAAAATAAAATATATTAACCTTTAAAATACATCAAAGTTTTAAGTTGCCCATTTTTCGTACTAAAAAGTCAAATAATTTGGCTACACACTGTTTAAAAAATCATCAAAATCGGCCTATTAAAACAAAATATATTAACCTTTAAAATACATCAAAGTTTTAAGTTGCCCATTTTTCGTGTCGGTAAATGTATTTCAAAAACTGACATTTTTGTCATATACTTTTCGAATGAAACAAACCTTTATTTTTTTACTAGAATCCAAAAATCAATTAATATATAAGGTGTTCCATTACAATAAACATAACTTTGATGTGTAACTTTTTTTGGGGACACCCTGTAGAACTCTACATAATTTTAGAAAATGCTTTAAATTGACCTCGCAAAATTTCACTTCAATACAAACTTTTGTTCTCTTTGCAAAAACCGTGTCGTATATGACGCGCCACCCTGTATAATTCGATTTCAATCAAAATTTCAATGATTAGAATATAAGCTGAATAGGTATAGCTTATGCATTATATTTATTTATTTCAATAAATTTACTTAGAAAAAGAATTTAAAAAATCAAAAAATTAAGATGGAAATAATAATAAAGAATTTACTAAAATTACTAAAAGAAAAAATTAAAAGCAAAAAAAATGGGTAAACATTTTAGTATTTTATCTATAAAATGCAAAGTAAAAGTCTCTGGGTACTCCACTAAAAATGGTAAATAGAAAATATGTGTTTCTTTTCTCCAGATCTACAATACCTTAAAAAATGTCTATATTTATGTCGCGGATTCATATCTCCAAAAAATCCTATATGGAATACCTTAAAATAATACTTGGACTCATTTAAGGAACACCCTGTATCGATCATGTAAACAGATGTAAACCATTTATTTGTCCATTTTTCGTATTTTATTCAAGTGATTAACCTAACCTAACCTAATTAAATATATTCTTTTTCAGAGCTTTTCAAAATGATTTGGAGAACATTCCAGCATTCCTGTTTATAGCGTTGGCCTACCTCTGGGTGTCCGTACCATCTTGGGTAGTACATTTCCTCTACTACCTGTTCTTTATCGCAAGACTTGGACACTCTATCGTTTATGCTGTTGTTCCCATAGGGCCACCTACAAGGTGCATATGTTTTGTTATAGGGTTTTTCATTGTGACGTACATGAGTCTGCACGTGTTGATTGCTGGTATAGCAGCGTATTGTAAGAATTAGTTTGATTTAGATAAGTATAATATATAATCACATTGCACTCGAGAAGGCACCTAAGTTGTTACCTACTTGGCACGAAAGTACTATAGATGAGACAAGGACGCAGCAAATAAATTTAAACAAAATTGTTGTGGATGAGTTTATATTATTACTTTATGTAAATAAATAAACAAAATTGTTAATTAAGACTGTTATTATTTTATATTTAACATTATAAAGAAACTTGTTTTGATAATCTTAGAATCTGGGGGCACCGCGGCAGTGCCCCCGCCAAGTCGAGCACAGCCGTTCCATCCTTTTCTCAAAGGTACCAGCGGCACTTTTGACCACCCTGTAACTTCGTTGTGGATAAAGCAAGAATATTAATTTTCACTAAACTTGAAGACTATAGCTGGCTAGGTTACCAAAATATCTAGTCCCTCTATATTATCCCTCATAGTTCATGAACTATCGCTTGTCAAATTTCTTTAATTTCGACATTGACTCAATGACAGATCAAAATTCTAAGGTACTTCTAGATGTGTCACAAACTCCAAATTTAGAATTTTGGGTAGCTTTAATCTTATAACCAAAGGAAAAAATGAAAAATCTCGAAATATCCTTATGGATTAAAAGTTAGCTGTCTAGCCGCTACCGGTAACTGGCTTTCCAGTCGAGAAAATGGTAGAAAACTAGAATTAATCGGTGCGGTCTCTTCTGATTTTGTTTATACAGGGTGGCGCACCTCATTCGCCTCGGTTGATTATACGAAAACGGAAAGATGTAGAAACAAAATATTTTATGGGTATATGTGGGGAGAAAATGTGCACAATTTAAAATTATTTTGAAATATACAGCGTGTTTCAGAACAAAGATCCATACCAAAGTTATATTTTTTCTTATGGAACACCCGGTATTTTATTTCATTTTTGGATTCTTGGGCCCAAAAAAAGGCATTTATTATAAGGGTTTAATTTGTTTAAAATCTTTAGTTTTTGAGATATTTAAAGACATTTAAATTTGCATGCTACAATAGAATAGACTATTAACACACTGTACATTACTTTTCACAATTAATTCTTATGCTGAGATTAAAGGTAGAGAAATAAACTTTACTGAAAAATGGTATTGGTTCCTTAAATTTATACAGGGCTATCAAAAGTTGCTGATATATTTTAAGGATATATTTTATATAAAAACTTCGTTATTTCAAATACAACACCCTGTATTTTTTTAAATAAATCGAAGCAGATTCAAAAGTTCTTTCAAACTATATTAGGGTTTCCTATACTTATCTAGCTCAGATTTTGAATAAATAGAGATTTTTAAATAAAAATGCAATCAAGATGGCTGGTGTCGCCATGGCAATTTTCTAGTGACAGTTAGTAACTGTTTTCAAAGTCGACATTAGTTTATGGACATTATTACTTATAATTTATAACAGTTTACTTAAATTTACCTTCGATAGTTTAATAAGTAAGTATTCATTATTATATCAAGAAAAATAAAGCAGTTTCTGCTGGCAGAACGAATAGATATGTTACTAGTGATATTATTTTGTAAGGAAATTGTTTCTTGACCTCAAGGGCTTATGCTCAAAGATATCCAAATAGGCATTTATTCACTGCATAATATTCCTGATAAGCCTTTCTTTGAAAGATTTCTTGTCCTATTTCTCAGAGCTGGTAGTGTGGTTTATAAAAAAGCTATTAGGCAAAAACCTGTCGTTGGAAGTGAAGAAAATGAATTGGCCGTAAATGGCTCTTTTATAGAAAAGCAAACAAGTCATCGTAAAATAACTCAAAGAACTACTTCTTCGTTTTTCTTGATAGAATAATAAATACATATTTAAAAAATATTATTTATTAAACTATTGTAGGTAAATTAAATAAAAGTAAATCGGGTATAAATTTAAATAAGTCCATAACTAATTTAGATTTTGAAAATAGCTACTAACTGTCACTAGAAACTTGCCATGACAACACTAGCCATCTTGATTACAATTTTATTGAAAAATCGCTTTTTATTCAAAATCTGAGCCAGATAGGTATAGGAAACCCTAAAATAGTTTGAAAGAGCATTTAAATCTGCTTCGATTTGCTTTAAAAAATACAGGGTGTTGTATTTGAAATAACGAAGTTTTTATATAAAATAACTCCTTAAAATAGACCAGCAATTTTTGATACCCCTGTATAAATTTAAGGAAGCAATGCTATTTTTCAGTAAAGTTTATTTCTCTACCTTTAAACTCAGCAGAAGAATTAATTCTGAAAAGTAATGTACAGGGTGTTAATAGTCTATTCTATTGTAGCATGCAAATTTAAATATCTTTAGATATCTCAAAAACCAAAGACTTTAAACATATTTAACCCTTATAATAAATACCATTTTTTGGGCCCAAGAATCCAAAAATGAAATAAAATACCGGGTGTTCCATAAGAAAAAATATAACTTTGGTATGGATCTTTGTTCGGAAACACCCTGTATATTTCAAAATAATTTTAAATTGTGGACATTGCCTCCCCACATATACCCATAAAATATTTTGTTTCTACATCTTTCCGTTTTCGTATAATCAACCGAGGCGAATGAGGTGCGCCACCGTGTATATCAATAAGGTACCAACAATAATTCAAGAATTATGATTTTTTTCTAGCCAGACTTTAACTTGTAATGAAGTCCCTATTTTATTTTTTTTGGTTTAATATGTTAAATGCTAGGCTTGAACATATATATCGAGCAAGGCTTGATAACGCGGCGCCAAAGTATTCCGCTTGTACAGGGTGTCCCACTAAGAATAGCTCTCGGCTGTATCTCGGAAAGTATTAGCCGTAGGGGTTGCGGGAAAAAATATTTATGACTAAAGAGGCTATGGGAAATTGCTGGAAATTATTTTCAAGTTTGTAGAACGACCGCTAGGGGGCACAACTGCAACACAAAATAAGAAAATATAATATAGTTTTTACACAATTTTGCCTAGATAAGGTGTACTATAAGTAATAGCTTCATAATATTTAGTAAATTTTGAACATTTTTTGTTAAAGCCATTTTCCCCTATATACCAAAATAAAGTGGTGGGGGAAGGTTAGATTTATTTTTATTTAAATATTAATAACTCTGGACTGGATGATCGGAATCCAACAAGCGAGAGCTCGTTTAAAAAAGCGTACTCTATATTGTACCATATAAACAATAATAATAAGCTTTTGAACGTAGACGCTAGGGGGAGTTGTTTTACAATTTAACAAACATTGCGCGTTTTTTCAAAAAAATTAAATACAATAGTATATGTAATTTTAGCTGATAGTAAAGAGTAGTAAAAGCTTAAAAACCGCATCTTGATATCTCCTTTCAAACCGAAGATATTAGCAAAATTATAATAAATACCAAAAAATAAGCCCTTAATTACCTTATTTTTACAACACGGTATCAGTAGCCCTCTTAATTATGCCAATTTTAACAAAAAAATAAGATAGAAACAGTTAGTTTATTTTTAAATCGACGAAATACCAGAATACCATAATACCAGAGGTATTAATATCTAATAATTAAGATATTAATAACAGTGGACAAGAAACGATGATTCAGTGAAGTCATGGTAGGCTTTGGAAAAAAGTTGCTTTTGACGTAATAGTATAAACGTCAAATTGTTATTAGATCAACATTTTGATAGGCATTTTGAAAAAGCAATTAAAAGATAAAAAAACGTTAATTATTTTAAAAAATATGTTAATTATTTTTTGTTTTTACTCTTGGCTTTAGGTCGTTGGGGTTGCAAAGATGTTTCTAGATTTTGTTCATTATTTTATTTTATGACGACGTTTCGACAGTATATGTCTTTTTCAAGCCTCTTGAACGTAGATTCCTACAGAGTTAAAATTTGTTAAAACTGAACAAACACAATAACACATATTAACTATTATTTTAATTGTTTTTGGACATGACATCACACTTTAGTATAGAGCACGTATGTATTTCCTAGCAGATCGCTCTGTATAAAACACATTTATCATTTCAATACCCGATGTCTACTTAGTAGACATCGTTCTTACTACGACGACATAGACTTACTACGTTCAAAAGCTTATTATTATTGTTTATATGGTATAATATAGAGTAAAAAACGCTCTTTTAAACGAGCCCTCGCTTGTTGGAGTCCAGAGTTATTAATATTTAAATAAAAACAGATCTAACCTTCCCCCACCACTTTATTTTGGTAGATAGGGGAAAATGGCTTTAACAAAAAATATTCAAAATTTACTGAATATTATGAAGCTATTACTTATAGTACACCTTATCTATGCAAAATTGTGTAAACACTCCATTTTCATATTTTTTGTTGCAGTTGCGCCCCCTAGCGGTCGTTCTACAAACTTGAAAATAATTTCCAGCAATTTCTCATCGCCCCTTTAGTTATAAATATTTTTTTCCGTAAACCCTACGGCTAATACTTCCCGAGATACAGCCGAGAGCTATTCTTAGTGGTACACCCAATACACCGGGAGGCCCGAGTTCGAGGCAGCCTCGGAGCATATTTTTTTATTTTATTTTCGTTAATATTCTGATTGTAAAATATTAAATACATATTTTAAACAATAATTCAAGGATTATTATTTTTTTCTAGTCAAACTTCTTTAACTTCGCCAGTGACTCACTCGCCGTCATCAAAATTTTAAAGTACTACTTCTAGATGTGTCACAAACTAAAAATTTTGAATTTTAGGTAGCTTTAAGTTTATAATGGAAGGAAAAAATTAAAAATCTCGAAATATCCTTATGGCTCAAAAGTTAGCTGTCTACTCGCTAGTGGTAACCGACTTTCCGGTGATGGTAATAGGAGAACCGGTGATAGGATTGTTTTAAAAATTTAGATTTTTATATAAAGGCACATGCTCCATCTATATAAAATATTATCAGCGTTACAGTGTTCCCGGATCATTTGTAAAGTGGTAGCATCTTTGTTATTTTAAATGGAAGTATATTATTACATTTTTGGAAACTCTCATATCTCTTATAGTTTTCGAG